CTGGGTCTGGCATTCATATGCTAAATGAGTTGGACCAATTTCTTGACATCTTTGAGCTTCATTTTCCTTATCTGAAAATGTGGATATCGAACACATTTTTAGATCCAGAAATGAATCAAAATAAAGTACGTAAAATATGTAGCATCATGCATTGGTCACAGACATTCCTCAAAAAATACTAAGTCCCTTCCATTCTTCTTAACTATTTTATGTATTTTTGCCACAATTTTTTGCATTTCAAAGGCAATTCAGTTTATGGATTCTTTCTTATTGGAAACATTTAAGAAGAGCACCTCCCTTGGCAAAAATTTAAGAATTTTTATTCTGAAATCTTTTATCTGTAAATAATAGAATCAAGTACCCCCAAATATGAATAGAGAGCTACTCTGCTCTACCCTGCAGTGTCCCTGACTGTCGCTGAGGTAGGGCTGATGAGAGAAAGTGGAACTGTTTCATTTACAAGTCAGCTATACCCAGGAAGCCTTGAATGCACAGAAATAAATGTTCATGGGTTATCCATGTTCATCTTACTCCCCTTTCACTCCTCCCTCCCTCCTTTATTTCTTCCTTTACTTCTCTTCTTCCTTCCTTTCTTCCTTCTTTCCTTTATTCTTCCTCTTGAAGCCTCCAATATTCCAAGCAGTTTTCTCAGTAAAGCCTGGGGTAGACGTAAATAAGATCCTTGGCCTTAATTTACTCCAATTTAGGGTAAGTTAGTATGATATGATGAGCATTGTCATGAGAAATGATGAGCACCAGAGGTAAGCAAAGAAGAGACAGTGACTGAGGAAGTCAGTACCATGGGGCCACATGTGATTAGGGCTTTGAGCATGAGTAGAATCCACATGATAGAGCACAGGTACAGTAGCATAGAGAAGTAACTGCATGTGATATTGGGGGCAGGTGTCCAGGGGTTGTCATGTGACCAGAGGAAGAGGTGGGGTTACAGAGGCAAGAAGTGGAAGATAGGGCTGGAATGATAGAAGCCACATTACAAAAGACCCTGAGATTGTGTGCTAGACCTCACAGATGGTGGTCAACCATCCAGCATTTTGTAAGCAGTAGACTCTGCTTTGGGTCAGCAGCAGGAGATGTATGGATCTGGGGGGACTGGGTGCAGGTGTAGCTTCAGAGCATTGTGTGGCAGTGTGATGGGGGGAAAAGGAGGTAGGAGTTGAGATTTAGCGGTTTTTTGGTTTTTTTTTTTTTTTTGGTGGGTGGGAACTTGATAGAACCTCATGATTGGACAAGAGGTGTTGAGAGAGAGGAGACAGTGACAGTCCTGGTCTCCTGCTCTAGGCTATGTGAGGAAAGGAAATGATCACTTGAGGCAGGAAGAATTGAAATTGTCTTTCTACTATTCAGCCGTGTGGCCCAGGCACAGATAATGGATCCAAAGCTCAGGAGAAAAACCAGAATGGTAAATACCACCAGAAACCTGATTTGGTCTTCCCTAGCTCCCCTCACTCCCATCCTTGGTGCAGCCATTTCAGTTGGCAATTCACAAGTCTAGGCACTTCTTTCTCCATCCTATCCTCAGATTCATCCACTTCTTTCCAGCCTGCTCATGTTCCATAGCTCAAGCAACCATCATCTCTTGCAAGGATTAGTATAGCAGACTCCTCCTCACTGGTTTCCTTTTCTCACCTCTTGTCTGCTCTATTCCTTTTTTTAACTTCTTTTTCCCTGTCATATTGTCCATTACCCACTGATACAGTGACCTTCCTGAATTTACAGATCTATGTGTACTGTACCCACACTTTAAAATTTTCTGTAGTTCTCTATTACCCTCAAAAAATTGGTCACACTGGTAGTTACACCTGACGCTGGCTCACCCTGCAACCTCATCTCTTATCGCCTGCCTAGTTCCATGGTTCTCATCCATCCTGAGCTACCTGTGGAAACCTGGATGGCGTCATCCTCTTTCACCCTTAGGCCTTTAAACCGACTGATCCTTGTGTCTGGAATTCTTTACAGGCCTACACCCGGTTAGCTAGTCATTTCTGAGATCTCTGCAAGCCTTTTCTCTTCGCCATGACTAAGTTAGGTACCCTCTGAGGGTTCTTATCCTTTTTCTGGAAACCCTTTAATAGCAACTCTCCTCTGCAGAACTTGTGCTCACTCCTCTCCCAACCATGCTGGAAGCTGCTCAAGATAGAAGCATTCTTGTTCTCCAATGTGTACAGAGCCTGTGTCATCATAGGTGCTCATGAAACATTTGCCACATGATAAGTGAGAGGTCAATTCCTGGAATAGAAAAGGTTCCTCCCAGATTTCCTGCTGATGGGAGAGAAGGAACCCCATAAGAGATAGTAGAACTAACATCAACAGCAGTCCTGGAAGTCAACAAAATATTACCAAAATGAGCAGCAGTATGTTGAATATTTGAGAACGATTGAGAAGAATGAGAACTCTGAATGCCTACTGGATTGGTTGTGGCAATGCATAATGGTGTGTCGAGTGACCAGGGCTCAACAAGATAGACACACTGTCAGGAAGGGTTGTAGACATTGAATCATGATGGGCAGTGTTCAATAGGAGACCTCGTTGGAGCAGCATCCCAAAGCAGACCTGCAGGCAGTTATTTCCTTCAACACCCGAGGACATTCCACAGCCTGCCTGGTGCATCCCACAGCAGAGGTGGCCACTCTGTTCATCCATCCTCCCACCAAGCAATGGTAGACCAGATTGTGTCTAGCCTCTGAGGCTCTAGAATGAGACTGGTGCCTGTCAAGTGGGAATCCTAGCTGCTCATTTAATTTGGCACAGTTGTGAACCAGGCCTGCTCTCTACCCACAGCCAATTCTAGACTTTTTTTTTTAAGTACTATGAATTGAACCCAAGGATGCTGTACTACTGAGCTACATCCCCAGCACTTTTTATTTTACATATTGAGACAGGGTCTTGCTATGTTTCCCAAACTGGCCTTGAAATTGCAATCCAACAGCAAATTATTACTATTAGAGTTCCTTCTGGTCCTTGATTTCAGTTTGGGAGTCTTGGGAAAAGACATTTGAGATTGCTAGATGCCCTCTATACACAGTAGACTCCATTCTGAGCCAACCGTTCTCATCATGCACAATTTGAAAACCGCCAGTGGTTAAGGTGTTAAAGGGAGCTTACATGATTTATTAAACCCCTTGACATCTCAGGCAGTAAGTACAGAGATGTGTGTAAGAGAGGAAGAGAGAGAGAGATTTTTCTCCCTGGATCTCACCTCAGATTAGCCAGGCACCCCTGCTAAGGATGGGTAGGTGAGGTTTGTCGACAGTCAGGATGACCATTGGAAAGAGCAAGATGGGGCAAAATAGAACTGGGCACAGTGACATATACCTATAATCCCAGAGATTTGGGAAGCCAAGGCAGGAGGATTACAAGTTCAAGACTAGACAACTTACTGAGATCCTGTCTCAAAAAAATAAAAAGGACTGAGGGCATGGCTCAGTGATAACGTGGCCCTAGGTTCAGTCCCCAGTACCAAAAAGAAAAAATAATAATAATAATGAGCTTAGTTCAGAGCTTGACAAAGCACCACTGTCTCCACAATGCACAATGTTACTGAATAATTTGACACTGATGGTGGCAAGGGGGTTCCTAAGGTTTGAGATCTGCCTTCAGATAACTTTTTAAAATGGTACTGTTTCAGGCTGGGGTTGTAACTCAGTGATGGAACATTTGCATAGCATGTGTGGGACCCTGGGTTCAATCCCTACCTAGTACTATAAAAAAAAAAAAAGAAGGAAGCAAGGAAGGAAATGAAAAGTGTAATTTTTCTTAATTCTCTTTGGGTAGGCAGGGGTAGTTGAGCTCAGTAGTTGAGCACTTGCCTCGTATGCATGAGGCATGGATTCAATCCTTAGCACCACATACATACATACATACATACATTAATAAATAAATAAATAAATAAATAAATAAATAAATAAATAAAACAAAGATATTGCGTTCATCTGCAACTGAAAAAAAAAATGGGGGAGCTGGGGATATAGCTAAGTTGGTAGAGTGCTTGCCTTGCATGCACAAGGCCCTGGTTTTGATCCCTAGCACCATCAAAAAAAAAAACAGGGCTGGGGATTTGGCTCAAGCGGTAGTGTGCTTGCCTGGCATGCGTGCAGCCCAGGTTCGATCCTCAGCACCACATACAAACAAAGATGTTGTGTCCACTGAAAACTAAAAACAGTAAATATTAAAAAAATTCTCTCTCTTTCTCTCTCACTCTCTCTCACTCTTTCTTTAAAAATAAAAAACAGAATTCTCTTTGGTTGAATCCTTAAAATGATTTAGAGAAAATTCTGCTTATTTTTAGTTTTCCTGTTGAGTATTTTTAGTAAACTGTAGCAGGAAGCAAAGTGGCTCTCATTTATAAAGTAATTTGCTGATTCCACAGAGGAGCTTTATCTTCCCATCTGAGCAGTGCCCAAATTCCTTCCTTCTTAAACAAACTAAGAAATATTAAGATGCTGAGGAATACTTGACAGAGAGCCACAGAGAATGGGACGGGGTGGCTCTGCCCTGCAGCAGGACCAGTGGTACAGCTTGGTGAATATGAAGACAGCTGTGAGGTGAGCCTCTTCCCTAGCAGGCCAGGTGAGAGAGCAGCCCATGAACAGAAGGGAGTCCAGGAATCTAGAAGGCTGCATCTGCCTTCACATGCTAGGGAGAGGAACTCTCCAGCCCATGCTGCTGGTCCCAAATGTGGCTGGAATCCAGATGAGCAGCTTCATGAGCAGCCACAACAGAGGAAAGGGCTCCAAGGCTTGGAGCACCCAGTCACCTGGGAGGTGCTTTCCATGGAGAACCGCCCCCCAGCCAAGCCCCTGCACCATTCTGCAGAGGCCCCATGCCTTTCACCCATCTTGTTGTCTGTCAGTCAGAGGAAGAAAGATGGGAGAAGAAACATGTTCCTAGGAAGGAGGGGCCCTTAGAGCTGGAGTGGTTCTTAAGTCTCATGAAACCAGGGATGACTTTTAAAGAAGTGTCCTGTACGTCGGCTCTTTCAGCTGAGAGTGGACAAAGTAGCGGGCAGTTCCAGGGGAGGCCCTCAGAAGTCTGGTCACAGTGGCAGAGCCAGCACCACGGCCAGCAGAGCGGTGAGCAGCACTCCCACCAGCAGCCCGGTCAGACTGAAGTGTTCCAGGTAAATCGAGCGAGCACCGCCTTCTCGTAGGTACCGGCGCCTTCTCTCTGCTTCCTTTCCCCCTTGGTCTCTGCCGCACCACCGCCCACCCGCTAGCCAGTGTGAGTTCTGGCCTGGCCTGGGGTTAGAAGGGGGTCCAGGAGTAGAAGGTCCCATCCTGTCCAACCAGAAACTGTGATGCACTCAGGGAGGGGAAGGGGACTTTGAGCTGAGGCACACAAAAGAGGAGGCTACAATTAGAGATTCCTCCCTGCCCCAGCTCAGAGCTGCCTAAGAGAGGTGCATAGAGTAGAAGGCTAATGAGGGTTGGCCCTAGTGCTGGGTCCATTTCTCCCCTGCGAGCTTTCCTTACCTTTGGCTGTCCTGCCTGCTCCTCACCAGCCTATACCCAGGACAGGAGGATGTCCCTCTCTAGGACCTTGCCCCAGTGCCAGGCTGGCCCTGGTTCAGCTCTCCTCTTGGTTAGGCTAAGGGTGCTGCCCACTGGCTAGAGGTACCTGAGATCCTTTCAGTTCCCTACTACCAGTTCTCTGGGCTCTGCTTTCAGCCAGAATATTTTTCATGGGAGGTTCTGAGTGCATTGCTTCCCCCTTCACCGCAGTGAGGTCCATCCCATCAGATCCTTGCAAGCAGAACCCAGGCATCTCCAGTAGGGTCATAGAGCCCTGTCCTGTCCTGGCTGCAAAGCAGGGCTAGGTGCAGGAACCATAGCATGGGAGGCTATGCTCAAGAGTCAATGCTCCATTTACTTCACCCTCATCCCAAGCTTCTTTCCTACCAGGTCAAGAAGTACCCTCACAGACACAGATCTAGAGCCCAGGTATTGATGAGGTTTCCACAGAGGCAGCATACTATACAGTGTGCAGAGGAGTGCCTAATCCAACCCTTCCCTTGTGTCCCCTTATCTACCACATCAGCCCTTCTTCCTCAATGAGGACTGTGGATTTCTAGGAGATAGGCAAAATATGCCTTGTTTCCCAAACTTATTTGTCCACAGAATTCTTTTCTCATGCAGCATTATATGAGCTGGGAACTTAACAATACAACAGGACATATCCCATAAGGAATTGAGATGTTGCTACTCCTGTATTCTAAATGGGTAGTGTGAGGTTCAGAAGACTTGTTTAAGCTGAAGTCTGCTACACACGGTGAATACAGGCTGCAGATCTCTCCACTCACTCTTAAGCTGCATAGCGTTTGTCGCATTTCAACCATCTGTACTTTGCTTGGTGCCAGGCTGGGTTGTCCCCACCAGTTGGGGCTCATGTCCTCACCCTGTATCCCTGGCTCCATGTTACATGTATAAAAGTTGAGCCCTACTGCTGTTTACCAGCTAGCATGGCAGCTTCCTGGGGAGGACAGTTTCCTAGGGTCTCAGACATTTGAGTATCCCTGCAGAGCATCCCTTGGAAGGTTGGGGAATACTCCTGAGCTGTCTGTTAGAGAGATAGTTGTGAGGCTGTGTGTGGCCGGCTGGGCTCCTGGGACATACACAGTCCATGGGCAAAGAACCTGACTGCCCCATGGCTTTCTTCTCTTCTTTTCTCTTCTGCAGGACATGCTGCCAATGCCAGGAGATCCCACCCAGGGGACTGGCAACTATAATATCGAAGACTTTGCTGACCTGGGCATGTTCCCACCATTTTCTGAGTAACTGCGGGCAGAGCGAGGCTCCCACTGTAGAGTGCTACCCACGCCATGACACCAATGCCCATGTGAATGGGACCCCCCTAGCCTGGCTTGCCCTGATGCAGGACCCCCCACCAAAAGCACCCCACCACCCCCACATACCCTAGGCACAGCATCACTCAGCTCTAATCCACAGCCATGGCTTCTCGGCCACGGACTAGGGGCCCTGCTTTTAGATGTTTGGGAACCCATTGTATTTATTGTATTTTATCTGTGTGTGCTTGGAAAGTGAGCCTATTGGGTCCTTAAATTCAGTTGTGAATAGTCTCTTAATAGATAATTTACACACATAAAAAGTTCAGTCAATGCCTAGAGCGACTAGCACACCATCACACCTGCTGGGGGTGCTGAATCACATTATGTCTTGCTTTTCACTACTGCTGACTGGGTGGGACTTGGGGGGCGGGGGGGTTGGAAGAAGAGGCCAGCAGGATGCAGAGCCTTTGTTCCATGCACTGGAGCCAAGTGGCACAAGGATGCAGAGGTGGATGCCCTTCAGCTCTGCTAATCTTCTATGTGCCCATTGTGCTTTGGGACATATTTACTTTGTGCAGTGAGACATGAACTTTCTGTCCTAATGAATGTGTTGTGCCTCGTGTCCATCATGTGTGGCCAGGGTGAGTGTATAGAATCCAAAGTCTGTAGTAAGCATGAGAACTGAAGTGAGTGGCCCCCGTCTCCAAGCTCAGGAGCATCCTGATGGAAAGACGATCATCCTGGGACCCAGGAGCTGGCCTGACCAGCAGGACTCAGCAGGCTAGCTCTTCAGTAGTGACACCAGGAACCAGGAATGGGGACCTGCTTACCTTAATAGGTCAGTTCTTGGTCTACCTACCTACTGCAGATCCAAGCCCTTCCTAGAGGAACTAGCGCTGTCCTCCTTTCAGAGCCTCATAGGAGTGCTTGTCCTTCCTATTTGTCTGAACACGTGCTTCTAATTCCATGTAGCTGTCTCCAGCCCTACTCCATTGGGAGAGGGAGCTTGTCCCCACCCAAAAATGCAGGAAAGCACACCTTGAGGTCACAAAGGCATACAGGTGTGGATGGCAGGGGCAAGATGCCCAGCCTCCTCAGGTCTCATGCCACATTCTGCTCAGTGACCTGGAGGAGGCTTGGGACCACCACCCCGCTTTGTGTGGAGAAATGCACTCTGGACCACTTTCCTCCTGGCCACCTGAGCCTCTGTCCTGTGCTTGGCAGCAGGTACAGAAGTATCTTTGGATGGACATGATACAGATCTGTGAGGCAGAAGACTCAAACTCTGGTTCTGGTTCCAACTCTGATTCTGCCACATGTCCACATGTCTGATTGTCTCAAGACAAGAATATGATCTGACTTCTAGAAGTTTCTACTTGGGTAACCCCTTAACCCAGAGTCCCTGGCTTACTGTGTTTTACTCAGATTTGAGAAGATGAGTTTAGGACCCCATCCCCCCACTTTCACGTTCCTCTACTTCCTCCCCTACTCTTTACATGGACAAGGACTCCCTTAATTTCCCTCATTTTCTTCTTTTCCTATCCATCTTTTCTAATCCCCATCCATCAGCCCACTGATGCCTATGTGAGAGAGAAGTCACACAAGGCTGCAGATACAGGGACCCACCTTGTGGGAAAGCCCTGGAGTATCTATCTCCTGTATCCCCTTGGAAACTTCTCACAGGTACTGCTTAGTTTTATAAATGCTCAGAAACAACCAAAGTGTCCCTACCCATGGATTCTGGTGTTGGTTCTAGGCTGCCTGAGAGCAGAGTAAACCCAGTGTGCAGGAAGAAGCCAAGGGGAGAATTGCTCTGGTTCTTTGAAGATCCTGTTTTATACAGCAGCCTGTCTGGCATCCAGGGAGATCCATGTGCCCTGTGTTTCTGCTGAACTTCGGAAAGCCCAATATAATCCAGTAGAATGCCCTTTACCAGTAACCAGCCTCGGTTTCAAGACTGATGGAGCCCTGATTTTATGGTTTCTACAGCAGCTCTTAACCCTTTTGTAGTTGATGGTGAGTGGTCCTGAGTGTAGGTGCATGAGGAGCTGGCTCCAACCCAGAGGCTTCCCTGCAACTGGGGAAATAGGAGGTACCTGACACTCAGAGAGCCCTAACAGGACCAGCCCAGAACAGTTGTCCCTCTGTGCCACCTACCCTCTATCCCCCTCTGCCCTAACAACATCAAGCTTGCCCTGGCAGTGGGCATGATTGTCTCCAAAAAAAGATACAAAAATAGCTTTTGAAGCAAAATGTTTCTCAATGGCATGAAAAATAGACGTCATGTGGCCTTTGGCTTGTGACTTCAGGAGTTTAGGGGTCTTGTGTTTGATTTTGCCTTCTGTTTTTTGGAGGGAAGTCAGGGACTTTTCTCAGGTGCCCACCAGAGGTGAACACCTTGGCCATGACTGTTTCTTGGCACTGAGGGGACGTTGAAGAAATAAAAGGACCCTTCCTCCAGGTGACCTTGCTTCTATTTTTCTCCCTTGACTAGGAATTTAGGGGACTGCCAACTCAGTTTTTAGTCCTATGAGGTGAACAGGGAGCATCACGATTCGATAGAACCACACTTCCCTTCTCAGCAGATTTGCTGCTAGCCTTCCCACTTACTTTCCTTAGCTAAGCAAGCAATAGGTTTTCCATAGAAGGGGGCCCAAATGCAGCTTTACTGAGGCTCCACCAAGACTGCACCAGTGACTTGTGGGAGTGGCCACGAATGGTTCTAGAATATTCTGCCTGAGTGTCACTCCTTCCTAGCTTTGCTTTTAGTGTTGGTTTCAGGGAGCAAGAGAGCCATTACAAACAGCCACCTTCTCTACTTTCTAACACAACTAATTCAACATTTTTTTTAATTTCAGGAATAGTAAATGTTGCAAATAGCAGAGATGGAGAGATTATGAAAGTTAATGGAATTTACACCAGAGAGATTAAATGTTCTGTGTCAATGAAGCAACTGTGTGTTCCCCAGATTACAGGTATTGGTGCTCCTAGTTAGTTGGTTTAACCAAGAGATGAGGCAGACCCCAGGAAAATTAGTTGCTCTTTCCCTGCCTGCAGTGTTTTACCCAACTAATGAGCTCTGTGAAAACAGAGATCATTCACCTGTCTAGGCCACCTGCTCCTTAACAGTCATGACCTGCCCCATAAACAAGAGCAAGCCTGTTACCCAACAGCTCTAGCAGTGACAAGTCAGACTAGAAAAGCCCTTTGTATTATCAGAAAGGTGTTTGGTCATTAAGTTGCTGTGTCCTAACTTACCATGCTACTACCTGTTGCTAGTGAGTCCTGTGCACTGAGGAGCCATGAGCCACCTTGCTGTCCACTTTCTCCTCCACTGCCTGGACCCTGAGAAGCTTGAAGAGCCTTACTTGAGGGTGCAGGCACATTGTCACATGTAGGTGTGTGCCTGGGCCTTGTGGCCAGAGCTGGTTTTATGGCCAATCAATCAGCCAAAGTCTGTGGGGCACTAACAAAAAAAATGGGTTTTTCAAGACTGCGCAGAAATGGGTGGCTCATTTCTAACAATCTGTTTCCTAAAAAAAAAAAAGATTCCACAAGCAGGCTTCAGTGGACATTAAGCACTTAATCATCTCTCCTTTAACCTTTCTTCTTATGGATGTGAACTGTGCTGTGGGTAAATCATTTGTATTTCTTGAATGTTCTCTATGACTAACAGTTATTAAGTTGGTTGTGTATATGTATAACTAATGTAATTGCCTTTTAAATTTTCATTACAATAAAAATGACTTTGCTCTGAACAACCCATGGCCCAGGCCAGCTTTGCATTGAACTTCTCACAGAACCTGTCTCTTGGAGTTCAGGGATATCTTGCAGCACACCTCGTCCCTGGAGCTGTGTTGTGTCATGGTCCTTCAACCGTATGTAGTGTGTGTATGTTAAAGAGCCATCCTTTGAGAGGTCTAGCTACATAGGATAGAAAGGGAAACTAATAATCCTTGAGCTTCTGTGTCAGGTAAGGCTCTCTAGAAGCTTTTTGTACATGCTATTTGTTTAATCATTACAGATTTATGATATGTGGTTACCATTCCTAGTTTGTGGAAAACCAAGACTCAGAGAAGTTAGGTGACATATCTAAGAACACAGGAAGGCAATGGTAGAACCAGGATTTGATCTTGGGTCTCACCACAGAACCCTGTGTATGTGTTTGTGTCCCTCTTCAAACACTCTTACTTTTTTTAAAATCTTCACAAAATTAAGTTAGTATTTTAATATACTCAACCCCTTAATAAGTACTTAAAATTCTAATTTTTCTCTGCTAATTTTTAAAAAAATGGCAAACTAAAATCACTTGAATACTTTTCTGTCAAACACCTAGTATTTCTAATTTTTAACAGCTTTATCAGTCTGATAGTAACACAAAATAAACTGCACATATTTAAAGTGTACACAAGAGACAATTTTGTGACCTTGAACTGAGTAGACTTCTCAGAGGCTACACCAAACAGTTTCTTATAAAGCTAAGCATCCATTCATAATATGACCTACCTTTACCTTTTCTGTAGCTAATTTCTAGGAAAATATAAAATCAAATTATAGAAGGTTTTCTTTTTTTTTTTTTTCTTTTGGTTACAGCGGGTTGAACATAGGGATGCTTAACCACTAAGCAACATCCTCAGCCCTTTTTTATTTTTCATTTTGAGACAGGGTCTCAATTGCTTATGATCTCACTAAGTTGCTGAGGCTGGCATCAAATTTTGAGATGATCCTACCTCAGTCTCCTGATTTGCTGAGATTACAGGTGTTTGCCACCATGCCCAGCTAGGGAAATATCTTAAACCGGGCACAGAGATAATGAACTATGAAGTAAAATGTTGATAATCTTGAACTCAATTTTTAAAAATGGTTGAAGTGATGGTGATGGTGCACTCCTGTAATCCCAGCTACTTGAGAGATTGAAGCAGGAGGATCCCAAGTTAAAGGCCAGCTTCATCATGTTAGCAAGACCTGTCTCGGAATAAAAAAGGACTGGGAATATAGCTCAGTAGTAGAGCACCCCTGGGCTCAATCCCCAGTTTTCCTCCCCCCCAAAAAAAATAGTTCTCAAAAAATGTGAAAGAAAGTAATTTAACTGGTAGAAAATTTGCAAGTTATGAACCCAGCAGCAGTATTCAGAATACTAAAATTCAATTAATTCCTAAAAATGAATTAAAAATACAACAAAATAGATAAATGATCAAAGTATTTGAATTGCCAATTCATAAAAACTCAAAAGTAGACATTAAATGTATTATAAGAGACTGAATTTTATTGGTAATTAAGGGAAATGCAAAATTAATAATGCTTATGTCCCTGAGATCAATTCAGTCTGCACATGGGATTGGCAGGGTTTAAGGAAACGGGTGCTGTCTTCTCCAGTTGGTGGGAAAGAGACAACTACTCTGCAGCACATGAGGCAACATCCAGGGATGCCAAAGCCATACCAACCCTGTGCAGCAATTTCAGCTCCACATTTCTATTCTAGGAAACTTCCCACATATACATAAGGAGATAGATAAAAGGATAGTCCTTGCTCTGTTGGTAATAGTGAGAAACCAGAAAACTATTTCCACTTCAGTGGAGAAATGAATGAACTGGGATTTCGTCATTTGTAGGAATCTAGTAGAGAACTTAAATGGTCTAGTTGTAGCATGCAAAAATTCTAAACAATATAGCACTGAGTCTAAAATGCCATGCATATTTTTGTAGCCCAAAGCAATAATGTATTTTATTCTCTAAGTTGATAGGTAAATACTTAAAGAAAGGTGAAAAAATCATAAGTGGATATATGCTACTGGAGAATGGCTATCCCTTAGAAGGAACAGATGGAACAGCTTGGATGGCTGCATTACTTTAAACACATTAAGAAAGGGGGAAGGGTTAATTGGTTCGAAATAAAGTGAATTCAACAAGTAACTGTGATTATGACAAAATGTTAAATAGCAGTGATGAGTGTATGAGGGACTGTTATATTTTTCTCAAAGTTACTATTTAATGGAAATATTCAATAATTAAATATAAATCAGAAAGCAGATACTGAAACTCAAAGAGAAGTGCACATTACAGTCACAATGACATGACATTTCTTTCTCACCCCCAATGGATTGATGAAAATGCACATGAAGGGATTATTTTGCTTATTTTTGGTTAATATATATATATAATTGTATATATGTGTGTGTGTGTGTGTGTGTGTATAAGTATAAATTTTTACAATTGATTTCAAGAGTAATGTGGCAATATTTACTAAGTTAAATAAAATCATATTTTTGGTTCAACTTTCCAACATCTAGATATTCTCTCAGTGAAATATATATAAAAGAATGTTTATTGTTCAATTTTGTAGTGGGGAAAATTGTAAATTAAAGCCACTGATTTTTTTTTAAAAAAAGATGAAAAATTGCAGAATACCATTATCACCATTTACCTCAATAGAGTAATAAACAAAAGCAATAATCAGAAAAATACAAATATATTAATCTATTTAGCTAAAACATGAAAGCACATTATGTCGATTCATTTGTCAGTTTGTTGGTGGTATATGTGCATACACGTGTACTTACAGAAAATGTATAAAATATTCACATTAGGTTACGTTTGGAGGGGAAAAACTCACAAGCTGAGAGAGTAAGCAAAAATGAAAATAAGCATAAATATAATAACAATGCATTCATATAAAATTATTTGGGTTCATTTATATGCATAAAAGATAAATAGAAAATATTTTCGGGGTAGTCTCCACATCTGAAATGAATTTCCTTCCATCCTTTTAACTTTTAATACAACTTATTTCCAGAAGAATATATATTACCTGTAAAATCATAAAAAGTAATAAAATTCCTGCCAGAAAAGATAAAATAAATAAATGATTAGTCACTGTACATTCAAATGCCACAAGACATAGGAATTTAGATGTGTAGGGGTACAAAAGAGGAATATGCCCTTGTGAGATTAAGCTGCTCCAGAGCTGGACAATCCTATGACAGATGGAAAGGTGAGCAAATTGCAGAATAGGGACACAGGGAGAAGTACTTGCCATGACCTGAGCTGATTTACCTGGGTTTACCTGGGGTTCTCTAATTCTTACAAGAAACAGCTAACCAAAGAAATATCTTGTACGTAGATGAAAAAAATCATATAGTCATCATTTTTATTTTACTTATTTATTTATTTATTTTGGTACAGGGCACTTAACCCAGGGCACTTAACAATCCAAGCCATAATTCCCAGCCCTTTTTATATTTTTATCTTGAAACAAGTTCTTGCTGAGTTGCTCAGGACCTAACTAAGTTGCTAAGGCTAATTTTGTGCTTGCAACCCTCCTGCCTCATCCTCCTGAGCCTTTGGGATCACGGGCCTGCACCACCATGCCAAGCTCAATCGTTATTTTTAAAGTGGAGTGGAGAATAGAAAAAAATATAAAGAATAAAAAATATTATATCCCAATTCATTCTTATGAGGGAGGTGAGGAATCAAGTACCAGGGTGAGGGAAATGCTTTCCTTGCTCAGAATTCAAAGGGGGTGGGACAGATAAAGAAACTGTAACAACCAGCGTTCTCAGGTGCTAATTATACCTCTTCACTCTCTCCCAGCCTCTCCTCCAGAGAGTGGTGAGTTTCCTCATCCTCCACTGGGAAAAGTAATACTCCCTATTATGTGGAATCAGGAGACTGGTAGGATTACTTCTGCACATCTTCTCAAACAGGTCATTAAACACTTATATGGTAACTATCACCTTCTGTGCACAGTCCTGGGGTTGAGGTGACACAAGGAGACCCAGCACACCCCCCTACCACCAAGAGGAGTGTTCCACCACTAGAGGAGAGAGACAGGCCACCTGAGGGTGACTTTCTGGCATGTGCTGGTTTGAGGTAGAGGGCATTAGGTTTGAGGTAGAGGGCACCTACCTTGTGCTGACAGAAAAGAGGGAAGAAGATAACCAGGAAGGGATGAGAAGCTCAGGAACTTAAACTAATCACAACATCATAGTGGTCCCAGATGGGGTCCATTATAATAGAATCTACCCACTAGGCTCACAGCTTGTTGCCTCAGCTTTGCAGAAGTCACTTAATAGGTTCCCATCTCTAAGCTCAAAACCATCATAAATCATGACACCCATACAACCTCTCAGTAGGACACCAGAGTGAAATGCCTGGAATGCAGCCTGCCTCCGGTTCTACAGCCATGGCCTCTCAACCCCTAATTCTTTCCACACACTTTAGTTAGAGTCAAATACAAAGCCAGAAATAAAGGAATGTGGCCTGATGTGGAAAAGGCAGGGAAAACACTTCACCACAGTGATTTATCAGCATGCGAGCAATCTCTCATCCACATGTTACTGAAAGCTCCATCCTTGTCCCCAATGCCAATCCAATAATGAGGACACAGCTTTATGAAAAAGTAAAAAAAGAAGTTTTATTGCTTTGTTAGAAAAGAAGAAACACACTGGACTCCTTTCCCAGAGGCTGTGATGCTGCCCATCAGCAGAAGTGGGGTGTAGGGAGGTGATTCAAAGGCTACATTCTTTGTGTTCTGTCAGGAGTTGTAATTCACTTGTTAATTTGGGAGACAGTCATTGCTTAAGTCTTCTGGTGTTATCCCAAATTACTTAGTTTCTGTGGTGGGTATTACTCAAGGACACGTAACTCTGCCTAGGATGGGGAAGAAAGGTCATATTTCCCGTGAGATTAGGAAGGGAGAAGGGAGAGAAGGAAGAGAAAGAAGCATGTCCATTTAAAAAATAAAGTTGCAGAGGCAGAGCAGCAAGGGCTACATTCAAAGCATAAAGTGGACGGACCACTATTACAACAGGCTCCTTGAGCTAAGAAAAATGTCTACTCATTTTTTCTCATGAACTCTCCACACCCTAAAATGGCTGCCCTATTTCCCTTGTGGCCATGTTTGGGTTTAAGTTTGGGTCTTCTGAGAAATGTGGTTGCAGGGCTCCCAGCAGAAGAACTCACAAAGCTACCAACTTGGTGAGGAGCCAGGATCCCAAGTGCTAAGGAGATGCCAGATAGGTGAAGTTATCCTAGGTTCACTCTCCACAGGCAGAATGAGGTGTCAATTTGAGACATGGAAGTTTCTCTTCTTAGGTAATGGAAGGAGAAAGACTTCTGTTCAGACTTCTGTTCAGGCATGAGCTGACAGGGAGACTGGGCCAGCAATTCTGGAAGTAGGACAGAAGCAGAACAAAATGATTCAGGTTTTGGTGCTGAAGAAACTTTTAGTGAAGATCACCTCACACTTTCAGTTCATGGGTTTATGCTTAGCATATAGCATAGTACATGGCACAAGACTGATGGTCTTGAAATGATAAGGAATTCATTTTACCCCCCAGTTCACTGTTCCATTGTCCATGTTTACAGTGAGTTCACAATGACTGGTGGCAGCTTGAGAAAGATTTCTTGATAGATCTCAAACCCAAACTCTGTGCTGGCTATGGGCAAACAAATCTGTGTTTTTATTTCTGTCTCTTTCAAGGAATATAATAAGGAAGCAGACAGCTGGGTGGAGACAGCTGGCATTTGGTAATGATGAAAACAGGCTGAACTCAAGAGGGTAGGCTAGAGGGTAAAGAGAGAGGACCAAAAATGTGGGACACACTGACTCAGTTCTGGAGTTCTGGAGATTTACCCCTGGTGAAACTATCCAGAGAACTACTTTTCCTCTTAAGTTTGTGGCGTGGTGGAGCATGAGGTTGTTCCGGGAGTAGACAGAGAGGTGGGGTGGCCTTCATCTAAATTGAATCCTCGCATTCAAAAAGGATTCCTAAAGAGAGACAGGGAAGAGTTGAAAAGCAATGGGTAAAGAGGCAATTCCTGCCTCCTGAGAAGACAGAAGACAGCCCAGGCAGATGGCCTGAAGATAAACAGGAAATGGAAGGAAAGTGGAAGATCAGGCTGTGTGACTGGGGCCAAGATGGAAATGCTGGCACAGAGTGTATCTGGGGCCCAAGGATCCTGTAGACAGCACAAATCCAGGACCCAAGGGAGCTTGGCCTCATTATGATGTTTGACATTGATGAGGAGGTTAGGGTCATAGGGAGGGTTGAGAGATCATGGCCTGCTGAGCAAACCACAGAGGTCCTGTGCCTCTGGTCCTCTTGTGGGAAGAACATGTAAGCCCTTGGGCCACTTTCACACTCACCAGCTCTTCTTTGCCTTTACTCTCAGGTACCAGAATCCAAGTCTCTTCATCAAAGGACTGTCCTCAGGCTACAAAATCCTACTTTGCCAAAGCATAGAGAGTCAAAGAATGTCACAACCCACAAGAATAGTTCCTTGCCAACCACTCAAGGGTGCAGGGGATTAAGACATCTTTTTCTGATGAGGGCATCTATAAGTTGTCACTTATATTTTCTCCAGAGCATCCCTGTGGGACTGAGATAGGGTTATCCCCTGTGGCAATATTACTTTCTTGATACTGTTGATAGTGACTAAATCATGCTTGGTTCTCTTTCTATTTAGTCCCATTTCCTGATGTGAGGTGTCCCTGGAAACCTCCTCAGGATTGTGGCCAGCTATCCTGAGCTTCCTATGAGTTTGCATCGTCTGCAGAATTTTGGGATGAACATGGTAACAGATGGAAGTGACTTCTCAACTTTTCCTGGAAACCTTTCTCATGAAATCTCTTTCACATACACGTTTTTTTCTTAGATAATACTTGTGAAGAACCCAACCTCTGATGGTGCTTTTGAAACAATAAAAATAAGTAGGTTTTTACTTTTCAATAAAAATAAGTAGGTTTTCACAATATTTGGTACTGTAGACATGAGCAGGACTTTGTCTTAAAGATACCTATTTTTCCCAAGACTTGGGAGGGCAACCTATCCCCATTTACCTGGGACTTTCCTAGTTTTTACAGCGAAAGTCCCACATTCCAGGAAATGCCTTCAGTCTCAGGAAAAGTAGTACATTTGGTCATTGTTCTCGGACCCCAACACTCTGTTGCCAGGGAAGGCAAAGTCCTGGCAAGAAAGGAGGAAGCAGATAGGATTTTGCCAGACCACAGAGCTTGTGTGGGGTTTCAGTGATAACTGAGCCCACATTCTCAGATGTGGGAAAGGGGTGCAGAAGTTTAAAAGATTTCATTTCCCAGAAGCCTTAGCAAGAGAGGAAATGTTCACTCAGCAGGAAAGACCAACAAGGCCAAGTACCAGACCCACAAAAATCCCACACAAGGCTGAGGAGTTCTCCACATCAGATTCAATTCTGCAGACAGTGATCTGAACCTGAGAAACCTGACCACGTCAAAGAGTGTGTTCTGCCCAGATCCTAATCATAATGAGAGTGGCGCCTGAATGCAAACTCAGCTTGGAAGAAAATCCCGAGTCCTTGAAGCTAGACTTTTTGAAGAGAACAACATGGCTTCTCCCCTGAGGAAAGCCAATACAAGATCCCAGGTGGTCTCACCAGACCCTTTGAGGCCCCTGAAGAGGAGGGATTGATCAAGACCCTAAGGTTCTCCCTGTGAAAGAGAAGGGAGAGGCTCCGGTCAGAGCCTCTCCCTTCTCTGGAGACCATGTCCTGGAGGCCATGTCAGAGTAAGCACAGCAAGTTAGTTTTCTCAGTCTGCCCCAACAAACTGCCACAAATCTGTTAGCTTAAAACAACAGAAATGTACTCGCTCATAGTTCTGGAGACCAGAAGTCTGAAATCAAGGAGTTGGCAGGGCTGGTCTCTTCTGGTGGCTCTGACACTGTCCCATGCTTCTTCCAGTTGTCAGTGATTGCCGGGGAATCAATCATTTCTATGTAGTTCCCTCTATGAAGAAGAAGAATGATTTTTTAAAAGCTATAAATATAAAGAATTTAATCTTTTTTAAATAAAAATAAGTAAATGTTGTCACAATATTTGTTACTGTAGATGTGGGCAGGACTTTATTTTTAAAGATACCGATTTTTCCCAAGATTTGACATTCCTTGGTTTGCAGCTGCCTACCTCCAGCCTCTGCCTATCTTCACATGTCCTTTTTTTTTTGTTTTTTTTTACATGCCCTTCTTCCCTGTGTCTATGTCTTAAGTCTTTCCCTCTTTTCTCTCAGGACATCGGTCATTACATATGGCCCACCCTAAATTTAGGATGATCTCAAGATCCTTAATTACATGTAATTAAGATTCTGTTTCTAAATAAGATCACACAGGGATATGGATGTGGACATGTTTTGGAGTAAACATGTCCAACCCAGGTGAGGCCAAGGAGGGTTCCAGTTGCCAGGTTTTCCATAGAGATATGCAGGAACTCAGATGCTTTATTTCATAAATGTGGAGGTCCAAACAAAATACTCAGTGTCCAAGGAACTACTAAAAACATCCTTGCTAAGAAGTAGAGGCCAAGGAGTAGCACATGTCCATCTGGCTCAGCACAGTCAGTACAAAGGAATTTGAGATTGGACTCCATGCTGTGCCGGTGGCACTGGCTTTCTCTACTGTAAAAATTCTGGAATGTTTCACAAAGTTGTGTGTCATCCTTGCACAGGGACCTTGCTAATTTTCTCTGTATGTGCTGAGAAAGCAAACACAGAGCCTATTTTATGATAAAGTCCTGAATATCTACTATCATTTATTGAATGCTGCCCTGAAAGTGAACAACAGAGTCGTTTGGTTCACGTATGAACCATCTGTTAACGTAGGGTTCATGTATGTTAAAGTATGGTTTCTATGCAACACATATTGCTTTTGCAGCATTTTTGGGTCAAAAAAAACTGTAATCAAACCATGGTAAATTGAGAACCATCCATGCAATGATAGATAAATCTATAAGAATCCTTATTCAGGTGTTTACACAAACAGGACTGAGTCTCAGAGAATGAATCTGTGACACTCTGTACAATTGTCTTAAGAATAAAGGATAGGATCTGGGTGCACTGTCCTTTCTCCACTAAGTGGTCATCATTGACTTCAGTGGTGTAGCATTAGTCCTGTGAGACTTGGAAAAGATCATTCCAGGTTTCTGACTTTTGTTAAATACTATGTCACAAGTCACACAGACCTGTATGTACATGCATTGACCCCTCATCCAGACCTAGGATGGTTATATATATTAAAAATAAGAATCACAGTTGATGGTCAGCCTCAGCAACTTAGCAAGATTCTGTCTCAAAACTTCTTTTTAAAGAGCCAAGGATGTAACTCAATGGTAGGGCACCCCTGAGTTCAATCCTCAGTACCAGAGGCAGGGGGTTCAGGGGTGGGGAGAAGGAAGGAAGGAAGGAAGGAAGGAAGGAAGGAAGGAAGGAAGGAAGGAAGGAAGGAAGGAAGGAAGGAAGGAAGGAGGGA